GTTTTTTAATTCTTGTCGTTGAAATTCCACAGAGGCAGCCTTTTTTGCTATTTATATTTTTTAAATCTAAATAGCGGCTTTTTATCAAGTAAAATAATTGTTTAGCAAATTTTGACCATTTAGTATTATTATTGTTAATCCAGTAGTAAATGTAGTAAATAAACTGCAAAAATGGTTTACTATCTGGCGGAAAGAATCGAAATGAATTTCGTTTATGGATAGGTTGAAAAAGGCGCACGAAGGGAGGCATTTCTTTTTAATGAAATGGTAGCAAAATTTTTGAAAACTAGTTGGGTGAAAAATAGGAAAAGAAATAATCGACGAGTACTAAATGAAGAAGCTCAAATTGAGGTTTTGGGAACATTTGTTGCAATGCCAACTAGCTCCATACGAACAGTAGCAGAACAAACGGGAATATCACGCGAGACTGTAAGAATAGCACTGAAAATACATTAATTTCATCACTATAAAATGCAGATACTTCAAGAGCTCTACAAAGATTTTGATAGAACAATAGAGTTCGGTGAAACCATGTCTAATCAAGTCAACGCCAACCCTAATCTGCTGCTGAATATTATTTGTTTCAGCGATGAATCTTTATTTTTATTTAATAAACAAAATTGTCGGTATTAGGCGAGTTCGGATAGTCAGGGGCTGAAGCGGGACAAAAGCGGAGTTTTTTTTGGGTACTTTTAAATGACATTTAAGCGTGTTAAACTGTCACTAATTGGACTAAACCGAACGCTAAAAGGGTCGTTTGGAGTAAAAAGTGTTAAAGGAACTTGGCAGACCGAACTCAATGACTGTAGTGACGATAGAGATAACAGGAGATGTAACTACTAACCATTATCGTGCGGCCCGGAATAAGACATTCTAAGGGACACAGGAGGGTATAATATCCGCTGATGTCATATGCCTATTTCATTATTCTGTTTTGTTTACAAAATTATTTATATATATTAAAAAAAGCTAAAATAGATCAACCTATTTTATTGCAATTGAACCCAAAAAATTTTGAATGATTAGTTATATCAAATTTAACTAACTTATATGTAATTTCACTAAACTAAACTTACTTAATAATTTTCAATAAATTCCAAAACCTAGTCGTGTTAGGTTGGAAGTGGCAACAGAGCTTACACCGGCATGGATATTTACGTTGTTTATAATAAGCGCACAGCGGCTTACACATTTATTCATTTATAAAAAAAAGTTGTATCTGCGTAAAATTCTTCTCTTTATCCCCTCTCTTACGTCTCACATTTCGTCTCCTCGCCACGTCAATCAAATAGAGCGTATTGATTGTCGAATTAATCTTGACATCGTGAATATATTTTATCAATAAATGGTTATATCTCTATTATTTGAAATGGACAAAAAGTTAATTTACCCCAAAAATTTCAGAACATTGTCCAAAAAATAATCCCGAACGATTAATAATAAATCTAATTCGATTTAAACGGATCTGCACCTTAATATGCTTGAAGAGACTATTGACCTTCTTATAACTCACGAGCTAGAAACTCAAACTGATGCAGAAGGTAATTTAGTTTTACAGGAGGAACTGTTACATTTTCAGCAGAACGGTGCTATACTTCATTTTTTTCTTCCCGTCCCACAGTGGTTAAACGAGATATTCCCAGACAGTTGGATTGGGAAGGGGGCAAGTGAATGGCCCTCAAGCTCATCTGATTTAACTTACTTAGACTTTTTCGTTGGGAAACCTTAAATCCTTTGTTTATGAAACACAACCTGCTGATATTGATGATCTTAAAAGCAGCAGCCTGCCGGTCAAGTTTTCCGAAATGTGTTTACAGTACAATGGACCACATTTTGAAGAGTTTTTAAAATAGTGTACAAGTAGATCCTATGTGTTTTATTTTTAAAATGTCTTGTGCAAATTAAAAGTTATTTTTGTAAAAGTCACGTAACCAAAAAATAAAAAAATCGACGTGTAGACTAGACATTACTCCTATTATTCAACTCGATAGAAAAATTTTTGTTTTTAGTTTGAATAAGGATAATTTCCTGACCGTAACAGAATTTTATAAAAATAAAAAAATTCCTTGGTTTATTCGGTCATGTTTTTATTTTCTATGCTAAACGATAGAAAATAAAAACATAAATTAGGGCACCATTGAAAAGAGAATTAAACGCCCTTTAAAATGATGTGCCATTTTCCCATTTAAGATTTTAAGGGTAACATTTACCCCTCCTACGAGGTTGAAACATGTGTGTTAAAAGTATTCATTGTAGGTGACCCCTTGAAAATTAAATTGACAGGTTTTTGCGATTTTTCATACTATTTACTAGAAGATTTTTATTTTTATTACACCTTTTCAATCTTACTCTACAAATTAATAAATTATCTTAGAATCCATTAGAATCTAATTTAACAATCATCAATTCTAAACTCACAAATTTTCCGTTATTTACAGTAACAGTCAAACACTAATGAAAAAATCGTCAAGTTAATAAACTTTGTTATTTTTGCCAATCGTCAGATATAGATTATATTTATATAAAACACCGTTTGAAAACGTCTGGTTTTAAATGATGGAGCTTATCATTAATGTGTCAATGCCCGTATTCACCTGATTTATCATCTAACGACTTCCCGTATTCCCGAATATCAACCAAAAACTGCGCGAAGAGCTCAAGAAGCCTTCAAAAACCAGGTTTTGTTTTAGAGATACCGCATTCAAAATGGAAAAAATGTTTCGAGAAATGGATGGAACGCATACCGAGGTGTATAAAACCTAATGGCGAATATTTTGAAACACAACAAACCGATTTGTAGCATTTTTTTTTCTTTGTTTGGGTAAAAACTAAAATGGTACCCTCACACATGTAAAGGTTGGAATGGTTGGTTTCTTTAATCTAAGGTTGGAACAAATTCGATAAAATGTTTACTGGTCAAGTAAAAAACTAATGCTCGGACATGTCGATTTTGTTTTGTTAAGATTCGTACATTTGCGATATGATGAAAACATTGATGCGCTTTGCAATGGTAATTTGGTAAAAGCTCAAATTAGAAAAAAATATGCGATATGATAAAAGCAATGATGCGCTTTGCAATGGTAATTTGTTGAAAGCTCCTATTATAAAAAAAAATCTGCGAAATTTGCAACGAAATCGTGACGATATCTGCGTCGAAATCTATGAAATCTAAGAAATCGAATTCTGTCAAATCTGCGAAATCTGTGAAAACTGCAATATCTGCTATGTATGAGAAATTTGTAAAATTTGCGAAATTTATATGATCTGTAAACTTTGCGAAAATTTCCGAAATTTGCGAAATCTAGGAAATCTGTGAAATTTGCAAAATTTACAAAGTTTGCAAAATTTACAAAATTTGTAAAATCTGAGAAAAAGCGAAATCTGTGAAAACTGCGAAGTATGTGAAATCTGCGAAATATTCGAAATTTGTGAAATTTTCAAACTCTGCGAAATCTATGAAATCTACGAAACTGAGAAATCTGCTATATGATAGAAACAACGATGAGTTTTGCTGAAAGCTACTACTACGATTATTAATTTATTCTCTCCAATACATGTAAACAAAAAAAATATCTGATTGATACAAAAAAACAATGTGCTTTGTACTAGTAATTTGTTGAAAGCCGTTTATATGATTATAGTTTATTTATGATGAGAAAGCTACAATACGCTTTACAAAAATACAAACGTGGTTTGTTGGAAAGCTACGTTATTATAACGCCTTACGTAATACGTTATTATTTTGTGGAAAGCCACACCGAAATGATAAAGGATAAAAACACCGCTAGCTCACCATCTTACCATCTTAAATGTGTTTGTTACTTTAGCACAGAATAGATTTACTGTCCACGAGTGCTTATTTGTCATCAGAAACCTTTTACTAATTTTGATTTTTTTTGAAAATTTCGAAGAGGTTCTGTTTTCGTTTTTCTTTTAACAGCGTTATGGTTTTTGAATTAATTCGAGAACGAATTTAATGGTCAGGTTGGCCGTGTAAGAATTTCAAATTTGATAGCGATGGATCGATGGTATTTAGTCGAAGTATGTGGACCGAAGCAGTACCTGCCTCTTAAAGGAGTGACGGCGAAGGCATTAAAGTATCTTATTTATTAGCCATAAGAGTCATGTCTGTTATGTTAGAATTATGTATCAAGTTCCTAGGGCAATCTGGCCTGAAAAATAACGGGACACATATAGTTCGGCTGTCTCAAAGGAATGTCGATTTTACTTGTTTTGTGTTTAATTTTGGAAATAGATTAATTTGATAAAAATATCGTGTTTTCTAATATGTATCTTTTTTATGACGTCACTTTTAGAAAGTTGACGTCATTGCTATTTTTTAAATGGTACTATCGTTTTTAAAGTGTAAATCTTTTTGCGTATTTTGTATATGTTGCAACATATTTCAGAAATAAATAGAAAAAAAAAATGTAATGGACATCGAAGATGAATTTTATAATCGACTAGTTAAAACTTGCAATCAGCATGAGTTTGTTATTTTTAAATGTTTTTATTCATTTCAAGTTTATTTTATTAAATATTATTGAATACTACTTTTTATTTTAGTAATATTGTTATGTAAAAGATAACAAATTTGGTATCTATCTGTAACAAATGTATTCTTCTAAATGGTCTTAATAAAAAAATTATGACGTCATAAAAAAATATTCTAAACAATGAGGATTTGGTTAAAATTAACCATAGGTTATAAAAATAACCAGATGTTATTTTTAATTTTGTATTCTGTATTATTTGGTTAAAATTACATGTCAAATATAATATTTTTCTTATTTTTAATGATGCGTTGGGTTTGATTTGAATGTACTTTTAGGTATATTATATCGATACCATGCCTATTTCAACCGGCGGAATTGGTTATAAAGTAACTAATAACAAAAAATTAAATTGCAGAATAGGCCCCATTATATAATAGTTAAATGCGTAGGACTGTTAAGATAATTTATTATATCCAGTATTGAAAAAAATAATTTTCTACTTACTTCTCACCGTGATCACATCTGACGATTCAACTGTATCACCACTATATACTATGCAGGAGTAATTTCCAAAAAATTCTTCCCTTGCCTCACTAATTGTCAATGTGACAACACTTTTTGCCTCGTCATATTTCATATTATATTTGCCCTTGAGACTCTCTATTTTCGTTACCTCTGTATCCCCTTTCTTCCTGTAACAACAAAAAAAACATCAATATTTAAAAGAGAGCTGTGTGCAAAATTATTTTTTTTTTCAACTTTTACAAAATGAAATAAGAGTTAGATAACAGAAGTATTATTAAAGGAGGAATGAAACTCAAAGTCTGTACCACAATAATGGCAACTAGTTTTGGTCAGTTAAAATTTAAGTCTTTAAATTTTAAAGGATGTTTTACAGAATATATCCCACCAGAGGCGGTTTCTCCATTGGTTTATTTGTTCAGTGAACATCCAGTTACATTTCATAAAAATACATTATTTTAAAATAACAAACATAAATTGTTGTGTTGATCTCTATTTTTGGTTACGCCACTGCACTCTGGCTCATCGCGTCTCCGTGGTGCACTATTCTGAGTGAACCCGAGCGAAAGCCTGTAGCTAAAAAGAGAGGTCAACACAACAAAAGATCCATGAAACAATGTGCCTGCTTAAAATCACTTAAATCACGTTATTTTGTGCATCGCATTTAATCAAGGCGTGACGTCACAAAGTAGGGCAGGGCATACGAATCTTTCCAATCATTGATATAGAATAAAGATGAGATGCTATGACGATACTAAAAGCATTTGTCAAACTCGAGCTAGTGGAATATATTTTTTTTAAATAGCGTGGAATATATTATATAAAAACATTTTCATTCCGTCAGTCTTCAAATATAAAATTATTACCTTCAAATTAATAAAAATACGACTTAAAGTGCGTTCACTTGTCATATCGCAAAATAGTTTGGGTCAAATATTATTATTATTATTATAATTATTCTTTAATTAACATATTTAGATTTAGGTTTAGGGTTAGATGTAAGAATAGCTAAGTTAAATCTCGCCCTATGTACTTTACTTTTGTGCAATAAAGACGTTTATTATTATTATTATTTAAAACAGTACTCTTTTATGGGAAAACCATCCAAATTAAGCGATGACAGGGTTCCATCAAGAAATGAGTTCTTATACAGTGAGCACCATAAGTCTTACCCCCCTATCTAACTCGTTACTGGAGTCTTGTTAGGAAAATCTCGAAAAATTTAAATGGCATGGGGTGGTGAGTGATAGCTCATTTGAAAGAGGGTTTTATTATCTATTCAACCGTGTAAAAAAATTTGAAATTTGCTTCATTAATTCTCGACTAATTGTTGATTCAGAATAACGGAAATTAACGTAGCGCACTCATCCTTAGAATTAAAATTCGGCCCTGCATGATTTCGGTTTTGGTTCAGACGTGAAGTAAGACTTTTTGCCATTAGAAGGTCACTGTTAGTCTAGTTGCTTTCCTATTTTGTGAGGTTTTGTTATTTTTAAACATTAATAAATCAACACGTAATGAAGCAAATTTCAAAATTTTTTGCACGGTTGAATAGAGAATAAAACCCCCTTTCAAATGAGCTATCACTCACCACCCCATGCCATTTAAATTTTTCGAAAGGGTTGCTACCCTTCAGTAAGGGATGAAATTAAGGGTAAACTAATCATGCAAAAATGTACATTGTAGAAATCAAAAATCGACCTATCTCGGCGATTTTCCTAACAAGACCCCAGTAACGAGTTAGTTAGGGGGGCAAGACTTATGATGCTCACTGTATATAAATTACCTAACTTTAAACACATCTTAGATTGCAGTTGCCAGCCAAGAAAAATCATTGTACCAGAAGATATTTCAAAAGTACGACAATTTTCTTATACAGTGCTCGGCTAAATTATGAAACAAATTCATTATTTTGCAAACAATTTAAAATCCTGAATGACGATTTTTTAAATAATATGCGAACATGGTGACGTCACCAGTTTTGACGTGGTGTTATGTTATGTTGATAATGGGGTGTTAATACACTGCGATTTAAATCTATTGTGCCCCCTTCTGTCGCCACTGCACTAAGGAAATGTCTCAATGCCTATAGCGACCCTTCCAATCCTATTTTCTCAAGGAAGTGTAGAATTTTGACGTGGTGACGTAATTGTTAATTTTTTTATTGAAATGTGGGTCCTGTAATACCTCATTTGAAAGGTCGTTTAATACTTTATTCAGTAGTATCGTACTTAACTGACTAATGCTTGTATAGGGAAAATAAAAAGTAATTTAATCCAGAGAATAATTTTACAATAAACGAACTGCAATATTAAATTGATTAATAAATAATACTTTTCAGCTAAATTAAATGCTCAAAATGCCATCCACCGGTGTCTTGACAATAAGCAATTGACGAACACATTCTTCTTGCACATTACGAATAATTTCCGGAGTAATTCTATTAACTTCGTCTCTAATTCGGTTTTGCAACTCCTGTAGATTTTGCGGTTTATCTACATGAACTTTTGATTTTAAAAAACTCTTGGAGGTGTAAGAGCTGGAGATCTTCGGGGCCACTCTATTGGTCCTCATCACCTCCCAGGAAAACGCTGGTTTAAAAACTCGTGAACATCGCGTGTATAATGCGGGGGTGCATTATCTTGTAACCAGATACTATCATCTAGTAAGTTATGATTATTGGCGTTTGGAAACATACTGGCAAGGACTGGTTTAACTTCTCTTCGCAGAAATTGCAGATAACGTTCTCCTGTAAGATTTTCTTAAAAAAAATAAGGACCCGTAATTGTGTCATAATTATTCCCGCCCAGGCATTGATTTTCTGATGGTGTTGAGTATGACCTTCAGTCATCCAGTGAGGGTCATCCTTACTCCAGTATCTGCAATTTTGACGATTGACCGAACCATTTAGGCAAAATGTAGACTCATCAGAAAACATTTAATAAAACGTGGATTGCGATTACATAAATCCTGCAAAATGTCACAAAACTACATACGGCGATCGGGATCATTTTCGTTGAGTTCTTGATGTAACTGAATTTTGTACGGATGGTACTTTTTGTCTTTTCGTTGAGATATGCCTGTGTCCGCTGCAATTTGGCGTGAAGTATTATGAGGATTATCTTACTTAATACAACATCAAGTTTCACGTTTTCTGATACCTTAGAACGTCAAGCATTTTGAATATTTTTAACATGACCAGTTTCTCTAAATTATTTTTCAATTTTACTGACCGTTGATGGGCTGATAGGTACGTCTGAATACTTTGCATTAAACAAATCGCATACCTGTTGCTGAGTTCTCGTTTTATCTCCACATTCTATAAACATTAAAATTTCTATTCGTTATTACCTCCCGAATAAAGTAGTTTGCTGTTTCTATTGGTTTTGTTATTTGCGGGACTAAAATATTTAAGTACCAAGGGAGTAAAAGTGGCACTTCAGTCCCTAAAATGAGGGAGTAAAATGCATGTTTTAGTCCCTGAGGTACAAAATAGCTATTTATGTAACCAGTTTCGAAATGCCTTATTTTGTGTAATGAGTAAATATTTGCGGGACGAGCGGAGTGACGTCCCGCAAAATGAACGAGTTACACAAAACGACATTTCGCAACGGGTTACATGCAAGATTTTTTCTAATTTTGAAATGATGATTTATAAAATTGTGATTGGTTAAAAAATGAACGGAATTTACAGATTTTATTTTTTTATTTTCTTTTTTGTTGTTAAACATAATGTCAAATGTGAAAAGTCACTATTAATTGCTTTTTTTTTCGATTATTTCGATTTTTCGATTTAAAAACCAAAAGAGGCATTTTTATTTATTTCCATTTCGTAACTGGCGACATAATCAACTTTTCGTAATCAGTTGCATAAAGTAGATCGTTTTGACACTTGCTGCGATTACAAAATGTCACTTTATATGTTAAAATTAGAAAAAATATTTTATACCATTATTTATGTATGTATACTGTATACATAATATGAAAATGTACCTACCGCGTTTACTCGTATTAATTTAAAAATATGTGATAATTTTGCTATTTATTATTATCTACCTACTAACACGCCAGAAATTTAGGTAAACAATAAATTCTTGCGGAAAATCTAACTCACTGGCTTATAAATAGAAATGTGTTTACATGGCTTAATATAAGGGACGGTGGATATCATTTAAGCAAACGCATTAATAAAATGTAAGATCGTTGATTAAATTTAATATACACGGGGCAATGAATTCATATATCAATTTATATGATATGTATAGTATTAAAAATATACAAACTCTCAGTTAAAATAATCTCATACATTCAGAAATTAGTATCAGGATACCGATAGAGATTTATATGCATCCGAAAATTCTGTTTTCGGTATTCGGATACTTGGGACGAATTCGACAATTCATCCGGAATAGAGACGGTCGGGATTTAGCATCAAAGGCTCAGCGATATAAAATTGGCATTTAAAGAATCATTTAATCTAAAGTAAAGTATTGTGATGAAATTCCTAAAGCCTACCCTGTGTCTAAAGCAAGCGCGACCTTCAGCTGGCCCCGACTCATGCTCGAGGCGACGGAATGTTCTGAGTCTACGGTTGCAGCACACGATATCAAAAACGACTGGAATTTTGGAAAGAGTATCAAAATATGCAGATTATTTGTTTCGGAATTGGCTTCTGATAATCAGGAGTATGAGTAATTGAAAGAGCGTTATGTATTGAATGGTAGTGTTGACCAGACTCCAACTTCTACAACGCTTTAAGTTGACTTTTAAAATTACATTTTAGTTGCAAAAGCTACACGATGTTTAATCGGTGTAAACAGTTTTAAACCAGTTTATTTACTGACCTATATTAGTCACGAGGTACGAATTTGGGTTTCGGAAGTTTTTAAACGGGTGATATACCTTAACATAAATTGAGTAAGATTTAAGATACCATTTCGGTAGCCGCGTCAGGAGACAAGAGACCACTGAGGCGACCCGTAGGACGACAGATGCATAAATGTTACGCTCCGTACATTTCGGAAGCTTAGAGAAGTGTCGTGCGACACTTGCAAATAACCATTCGAGCAAATTTTGTTCTTAATTTATTAAGTTTGCCTCATTCTTCAGCAAATGGTTAAAGAATATTTTCTCTAGTAAATTTTCTGCAGTAAAAGCAGCGTAATAAGCA